TGAAGTCACTTCTTTACTAGTGGCAGCATGAGACCTGTCCCCCATATTGAAATCCCCCAAACAATTTGTATAAATTTACTCTTTATAAAAGGTTTCAGAGTAGCAGCCGTGTTAGTCTGTGTTCGCAAAAAGAACAGGAGGACTAGTGGCACCTTAGAGACTAACCAATTTATATGAGCATAAGCTTTTGTGAGCTACAGCATCCGATGAAGTGAGCTGTAGTTCACGAAAGCTTATGCTCAAATAAATTGGTTAGTCTCTAAGGTGCCACAAGTCCTCCTTTTCTCTTTATAAAAGATTATGATAATCAGTTGCCAATCTGAGTTATGTGGCAAACATATTTTTTAAAATTAAAACTGAACAGATAGACAAAGCTTGTGAAAAGAACCAAACTTTTCAAAAAGAGGGGAAGACACAAAGAGAATGGTGAATTCAATAGAAAAGTTGAATAGCATAATTTTGAAAACAATCAGAAAAGGCAAATGAATACAGTAACAATCCACCTGCAATAAACTTCGGTTTCAATCTAACTACATATGATTTTATTAACATAAGATCACATACAAATGGCTCTGTATTGTAGTCAGTGGTAGTCATGTGAATAAATCCAAGAGTAAAATTTGGCCCCTAGAAATCATTCTATAACCACACTAAAACTGCATTTTGCCAATCATATTATGCACAAATCCACAGGTGGAATCTTGTGGAGTTTCTTAACCCTCAGGTATTTCTTACATAGGCCTGGTCTACACTGTCTGGGGAGGGGCAGCTCTCGATCTAAGTTATGCAACTTCAGCTACGTGAATAACATAGCTGAAGTTGACATGCTTAGATCCACTTACCACAGCGTCTTCACTGTGGTAAATTGACTGCTGCTGCTCCCCTGTCGACTCTGCCTGCGCCTCTTGCTCTGTTGGAATACAGGAGTCGACAGGAGAGCACTCGGGGGGGGTCGATTTTTCGTGTCTAGACTAGACGTGATAAATCGACCCTCACTGGATCGATCACTGCCCGCCGATCCGGCGGGTAGTATAGACATACCCATAGTTCACAACCTGGACCTATTCTCCTATTGATGTGTATGCAATACTGTTGACAGGAATATGCATAGTGAGCAAGTATAATATACATGATAAGTTTTTACCATAGCTCAGTACAGTAGTTTTAGTTTTGCAATGCAAAAATTGTAATAGCACTGCGAAAGGAATTGTCATATAAAGAAATAGTTCAACTGTGGTGTCTCATAAAACCACAAACTCCATCATTGTCTGTCTGTTGTCTGCCCTGAGGCCCCACCTCCACTTGGCCTTTTCCCTTTGAGGCCCTGCCTGCTGCTCACTCCTCTCTGCCCTCTCACCCCCGTGCGAGTGGCAGGCAAGGCCTTGCGGGGACAAGGCCAAGCGGGAGTGGGAACTCGGGGTGGAGCATGGGTGAGGCCTTGGGGGAAAGAGGCTGAGTGGGGTGGGGCCTTGGGGGAGAGCAGGGGTCATGGCCATGGTCCGGTTGCCTGGGCCCACAAAAGATTAATCCAGCCCTGCTGCAACCTCACTATCTCTCCCCTTGAATGTGGATTAAGGAGGGGAGGGGAGCTATAAATGAGGGGGGTTGGCTCCCTGCCATATCAGTCATAGGAGTCCTGAAACTCCTCTTCTCCCATTTCCTCCTCTTTAAAGAATACCTCCTTTAGATCCTCTACCAGCCCACTTTATCTCATCACTGTAGCCCTTCCCTACAGAGTACCTGCACTGGACATCTGCCATATATTTACATAATAAATTGCAACATCATAGCCTAACTTCCATTCCATGTTCACCCAATCTAAGATGAACCTGCTGTGGGGAAGGCAACCCTCCCCACACACACACACTTTGCTTTGGCCAATCTGGAAGTAAGAGAAAAATTCCTCCCAGGCTCCCAAGAAAGGAGTGACTAGCACAATGCCCACAGCAAATTCTGACAAAACCCAAGCATGGGAGGGTGGGTGCTGCTCTGCCTGGTTGAGGAAAAGCCCTTTTCTGCTTCAGGTTGAACCTGCAGGGATGGCTCAGCATCCCCACACTGACCTGGTCTGCAGCTTCAGCAAAAAGTCACTTATTTGTCTAGCCCTTAAAGGAGCACACACATTTTCCAACAAACCAGAAAATGACCCCCACAGCTTAACGTGTGGTGAGATCTGTGCCAGGGCTAGCCCATTTGGGGACCCCGCAGGAATATTTTTCCCCCTCCCCAAAATACTAATAATTAATAGAGGGCACCCTGAGCTGCTCAGGGCCCTAAGCAATTGTTTAGTCTGCTTATGTCTAGCGCTGGCTCTGGGTGAGGTCATTCTCCAAATTTTCATATTTTGCTTTCTCTATTTCAAAAAGAGAGACACACATATAGGGAGGGCAGAATATGGGAGTTTAATTCCATGTTATGGAGGTAAGGAGTGAACATTTTCCATGTTTGTATCCCTTTTCTTTTCTTTATTGAAAATCCCAAATTTTGTTCTCAGGTACATGGGTATATTTGCCTTTGAAGTCCATCGGCATTCTCAGAACAGAATTTAGGCCATAATTCTTAATTTTGAGAGAGTTAAAGAAGAAATTAATATTTGCCTATTGAAAATTAACAATGGACTAGACCAGTGGTGGGCAACCTACAGCCTGTCAGGGTAATCCGCTGGCAGTCCGCGAGACAGTCTGTTTACATTTACCGTCCACAGGGACAGCCGCCCGCAGCTTCCAGTGGCCACGGTGTGCCATTCCTGCAAATGGGAACTGCGGGGAACGGCCGCCAGCATGTCCCTGCGGCCTGCATCACTTCCCACAGCTCTCGCTGGCTGGGAACAGCGAACCGCAGCCACTGGGAGCTGTGGGCAGCCATGCTCGTGGATGGTCAACATAAACAAACTGTCTTGCGGCCCACCAGCGGATTACCCTAACAGGCCACGTGCAGCCCACATTGCCCATCACTGGACTGGACAGTAGAACAGCTGTATGTGGTTAAGGAAGGTTCTTGGTAAACATGGAGTTCCCTATGTTTGTTGATTTCTGTAGTTATTTTTTTTAAGTTACTAACAAAGATTAACATAACTTGTGTTTCCTGGGTGAATAAAATGGGATCAAACTACTCTATATGAGTGAAATCATGTAGTCTTTCCTCAGGCCTTAGTCTAGCAAAACTTCTGATGACTTCTAAATTATTCAGTTAAAATGACAGGTTTCAGAGTAACAGCCGTGTTAGTCTGTATTCGCAAAAAGAAAAGGAGTACTTGTGGCACCTTAGAGACTAACCAATTTATTTGAGCATCCGATGAAGTGAGCTGTAGCTCACGAAAGCTTATGCTCAAATAAATTGGTTAGTCTCTAAGGTGCCACAAGTACTCCTTTTCTTTCAGTCAAAATGAATGGCCTGAGTAACTCCTCCAGAATTCAGTGGGAGCTATTCATATCTTGTCACTTCGGAGCATCAAGCCAAATGGGAGTTCTGCAAGTTTTGGCCCTTCATTGAGAATAATAATATTCAGACATTACACTTTCTTTACTGCCTATTATAGTTGTGCAAACCTTAAAACTAAGAAATATTCCAAGTTAACTTTAAAGGAATTTGCCCACTTTTCTTCTGTGTTAAATGATAGCTAAGTTTATATTTGACTGTCAGATTTCTTTACTTAATTCAGCAACATGGAAGACATCTTTCTTAACATCTGGTTTTTAATAACAGTTGACATCTGGGAGCTCTTTTTTTAATTCCTAGAATGGACTAGGAACAGTAGTGATACCTGCAGTGTATATTTTCATGCTAAAATTCCTGTCTGTTTCAATCATAATTAATTGCCACTCATTTCATTTATTTTTTAAATTGAATTAAGTACCAGCAATTTACATTACACCAGCTAGCTTTCAATGTTAGGAAACTGAAAAGTTCCATGTATTTTTTTTTAATTTCTAAAATATAAATGGGTGGATATAAAATATAAGATTTTATTTGTTTTGAAATGTTAAATTAAATGAAACACATATTACATGTACATGGTATATGCTTGTCTGTCTACATAGGTATCTGAGTATCATGTAAAAAAAAGGCCAGGTAAAATTATATATTATTCCTTGTTTTATCTTCCTCCCAATATTCATACATATCTAACTCTTGCATTCAGGATGAAAGTCCACAGAGACAAGTGTAGCATGTGTACATATATATACATCTCTGAGCAGAGAGATTAAGGAACATACTAAAAACTGAAATCTGCAAATAAACATACTCGGGGAGGAACATTTCATTCTTCTGGTGAACCTTTTTACCTCAAGCCTATAATAAATGGAAAGAACATCTTTTTTCGTTACAGCAGTATCCCAAATAATGATTTTTTAAAATATGAGTTTATGAAAATTCCATGAGCAACTGTCACTGAGACAAGCAAAAAAACCTACCATAATAACTGTAAAAGAGCAAAGAAACTGTCTTATAGTATTCTAGCAATATACCGTATTTAAGGCTTCGTTAAATAATATATTTGATTGATTATATGTTAGAAAAGTGTACTTCACTGAAAAGAGATTTTTGATACCTCAGCAGTTTTTATTGTATCCTTTAACCTTACAGAATGTGAAGCTATTTGATTATAGTAATTACTTCTTTGCTTACTTATGAGGTTTAAAGTGTTTCTGCAGTAAGCATGAATTCACATCGTCTGCAAACAATCAGCTTTTAAAAAAGTATAATCTTTTAAAATTTAATTTTATAATCCACTTTTGGATTTAATTTTAACTGGGTGGGAAGAATGTTTTACTTCATTGTTCTTATTCTGGTTGCTACAGATGCAGATTCTCTGATATACAGAAAACTATTGTTCAGTTGTTTTTGCTGCTTAAAAGTGCAAAACTTTTTTCTTTGTAACTCATGCTTTTAATAGCCAAGATCACTGTGCCTTAACATGCACCAAGGTAACTAACCTTTTCTTCTTTCATTCCAATGCTAACATCTTCTCTGTGAATCTCCTAATATCTGGCACGCAGGATGATGAGGAGGGTATATGGGCATAGCCATTCCTATAAACGAAAGTTCCAGTTTTATTCTGAGGGGTGAGAAATGATCTTTTATATCTATTTCAAGTTGCAGTCTAATGTTTTAATTTTAAACTGTATTCATAGATGTGTGTCTTGAAATTTGTCTAAGTAACAATGTCAAATTTTCTTATGTGCCACAGGGGATTAGAATGATGTGCAATTTTTTGGAACTATGATGCTTCGCCCAGTATAAGTTCTTGGGTTTTTCAATTTGTAGCAGCTTAATTTTTTAAGAACCTATTTCATAATATATAGGTCCAAAGTGCTCTTTTCCAAGTAATTTGCATCCACTCTTGTGGATTTCCTGTGAATAATGGATTCCTGTCACTAGTAGATAAGAATGATATCCTCTAGCAGTAAACTTTAAACTGGAGTTAGCCTGCCATGTTACGTCAGCTAGGAAAGCCAATATAAGAACTCAGAATGAAAAGGAGTACTAGTGGCACCTTAGAGACTAACCAATTTATTTGAGCATAAACTTTCGTGAGCTACAGCTCACTTCAGAATGTTTTTTTCAGATTAAAAATGAATGTCTGTTGTTTAAAATACTTGGCACAATTTAGATATTGCATCCCATAGGAATCTGATATGTTCATGTGCATGAAAAAGTGATGCTAATAAATGAATATTATATTTTTGTGAAAATTTAAATTGAGAAGTACATGCTTGGTAAGAAAGCTGCAATCTTCTCATACACCAATTCCATTCTGACTCAAATATGACAGACGACATCCTAGGTTGTCTCCATGAAGTTTAAGAATAGAAAAATGTGGCTTATTATGCTAATTATTTTTAACTATGAGTATTATATTGTCATTACTTGTCAATTATATGTTCAATGCGTAGCCACTTATAGATTCTTGCCTTGTAAGTTATATTTAACATATAGCTCAAAATAGGGCAGTGGCCCTATGATTATGACATTGGGCTTGATTCTTATTTAAACTAAGGGCACTTTACACCACTCTGGCCGTGTCAAGCGGCGTTAATGTACATGAAAATCAGGCGCCTGGGCTTAAGTGTGCAAAACTTTTATAACGCAAGTGGCGCTTTCCTCACTGGAACAGTTCTATTAACTTCAGTGAGTGTTTATGGGTGCAAGGAGGACTCACATGAGTAACAATTTGCAGGATCAAGCCCTTGTTGAAGTTTCCTACATTACTTTTCTGATGATTCTGGTATCTGTCATCAAAAAATGGAAAATTACATGAATTAATTGTAATTTTATAAATGGATGTATAAGATTTAGTGACTTGACTTGATGAGACTCACATCTCCAGAATAGATATTTTCCTCATGACAGTAATTTCTTGTTAATTGAAAGTATGTATTCATTGTACATAATGACTGTAAGGTGATATTGAGTTAGTGATATTCCTATGTAATGGTTTCTGTTTTTTTTAAAAAAGAAAGTGTTAAAACTCTACATCACATTGTGAAATTTAACACCCAATGGTAGTAAAATAAAAAGGTTATTCTGAACAGTGTGGTACCAGTCAGCATCTGAACAAAACCAAACTTGTTTATCAAAATACAATTAAAATCATTATTTTTTCTGATTCAACTTAAAATGTTATATCATGTGTTTATATAATGTATGTGTGTATAACGTGTACACACACACACCCTGTATAGTAGCAATGGAACAGCACCTAGCATACATATTCTAACTACTTCTGGTCCCAGTTTCCTCTCTCCTGCTAATAAGGGTTCTCTTAATCCCCCCCCCCCCCCAAAAAAAAAAAAAAAACCACCAAAACTTTAGTTCTGTTTCACATGAAAATTTAGCAGAGGTCTGTGTTTTTGATGTTTTCATGTTGTGCTGTGAGTAATTAGCAAGTGCTGTTCAGCTAAAGTTGTATGTTATTTCAATACGTTTCTTCTGTGATTTACAAGTAGCAGAGTTCTCAGCTGTTTGTCAGATTCTTTTCTTCTGTCCTGGGTGTGTAAAGCAGATTTTTGTTTACTTTTCAGGCACATATGTAATTCCAGTTTTAACAAAGTTTTAGTCTTAGACTTTTTTGTTTGGTTGCCAGTGTAATTTATATCATATTGTTGTATTCCAGAGCACTGATAAATATCATATTTGATCTTTCTTTCCAAATCGGCATACGCTGGGAGTGCCGCAAATGTAGCAAATCATACCCCTGGTGGGAGGCTGTCTCACATACAAAGTGATTTCAAAGTTAATCCCATTCAGGCCTCCTGATGCAGAAGAATAATGGTTTTAGTGTGGGACCTTCGGGATAGGTTATCATAAAGTGAAAACCTCATGATATAGACCACTTCCTAAGGGAAAAATAACTAATTGGGTATTCATTTGATAATAGGCTTTTGAAAGTAAATGTGAGTAATAATAAGGCATCTTATGTTCATTTTGTAAAGATGTATGTGTTTTATTTTAATCCACAATCTGAGTTCAAACAAAATAAAAATAAACAAATATTATAATAATGCACTATGGCCATAGGAAAGAAGAAAGCTACGAGCTTGATTCACCCATATGATCACACATATGCAATTTGACCCCATTCTGCCTGCAGGGGTACTCCCGTCAGGTAGTTTAGGAGGCATTACCATCTTTTTCCTCCCTCAGGGATTAGAATGGGGGAAGACTGTTTTAAATTCTCACTGGTTCTTCATAGGAGCTCTACAAGCAGACGTTGCCCTAGATGGCTTAGCCTGAACCCACCTTCTCCCTGACTAGCTCCACTCACTTTGCAGGCTGTGCCAGCTAGATCCTGATATATTAGCAGAACAGAAGTTGACAGTTGCTTGACTGCAGGAGACATTTTGCCAAGTGGCCTGCAGCCTGTATTCTGTAAGGTAGAGGAATCAGGCCCATGATGGTCTAGTTTATGAGAAGTGGCTTCTCTTCAGTTTCTATTTAGATTTTATATTAATTGTGATATTGAAGTTGTGGATATTGGATGTTATACCTGGACAGTGATACGTTTCTGAAAGAAATGATATGTTACAAGACTACTGACCAGTTTGAGTGTACCACGCAGGAAGCATAATATCTGTAAAGCCAGTCATTTTTATAAATTTATTTTGCACAAAAAGACATTGGCATTTAGCATGATTGTTGGACTGTTTTGCAAGATTTTTAAGAATATTCTTGTTAGAATTCATTTAAGATGTTATGGAGATAAACTGGAATGAATACTGTCTGAGATTTAGCCTTTGAGTTTTTGAATCACATTGGGCAAAAGCATTGGTCAATAAGAGCATGTCTTGGTGTGATGGATAAGGCCTAAGGTTAAGTGAATTTAATAACTAAGAAGAGTAATAATCCAAGTAAAAATTAACATGGTGGAATGTCTTATTGATCTTAAAAATAGAAACAATAAAAATGTTTTACAATGGGTCTTCTTCGGCTATCCCTCGATGCGAGGACGATGTCTTGATGTCTGTCAAGAGGGGTTCATTGGTGGATTTTTAAGTGGCTTAGTGCTATAATGGGAATAGCATTCATGGCAATAATTAATATTTCTGTCCAGGCTTCTAAAGTGATAAGGCATAGATTCTCTGTGGCAGCATTGTTCCACTTCCATATTCTCTACCGAGCTCTGTCTCAATGTACTTGAGAGCAACCTGGGAGCTATCCTAACCGAGGCTGGCTAACAATGATTCCCAAGGGACTGAACATAACTGAGGCACACCTCACTCCAGCCACCACCTCTGGATAGTGGTAGTATAGAACTAAATGAGAAGATATGGGTGATTTCAGCTGTATTTTTACTGCACTCTGGAGCAGAGTGGTCCAGTGAGTCTGGTCCATAACATCTCATTGGACAGATAAAGTAGATCTAAAGATAAGTAAAATGAACTGGGATTAGCAGAAAATATTAGTTATCCCTTCACATTTATTTAGATTCAGATTTCACCAATGGTAAAAGATTAAAGGAATGTACTTGTCTAACTGTAACAAAAATCTAATCTTCTTTAGAATTGCTGTGAAAATTTTACCACAGTTTTAAAAATGTTGCTCAGAAGTAGTTCCAGTGGTGATAAACCCCTAGGGATGACATGACTATGTCAGTGGTCAATGAAGCTGATGATAACTGAGAGTGAAGGGAAGTTTACACTGTACCCGGTATTAGAGTGAACAGATGGTTTCAGCCTCCAGAATTTAAGAGCTCCCAGGAGACTCATCAATACATGGGACAAGACATATCTTAAACAGACTCCCCCTTTCCAAAGCAAAGAGTATGATACATAGAAACCAATTTTTTCAGTCAGCTGAAGTAATGTTAAACCTCAAATTCAGTATAATTTAATTCAGTTTATGTTCCCTGTAGGACATTTTTTTAGCTTCAAACTTATATCAAAAGCTAATTGTGAACATAAGAGAGAAACAAGAGACAAGTAGGAATATTAGTATGTCAGAGGAAAATTGAAGTTAGCATGCAACAGTTTAACTTGAAAACACTTGGACCACAAGTATGTAGATTTCTAGGGAAACTCCTTCATCTTAGTTCTGATAGTTCATGAGGGGTTGTTTTTTTTCACCATACTTCTTAGTTATACATTTCAAACTGTAAATTATGGGTGTAACAGCTCTATTCTACTACATATTTTTGTGCATGAGCAACATTTTAATAATGATATTTTAGAGTCAGATTAATTTTGATTTCAGAAACTTACATACAAAGTATATATTGCTGTTGAAAACTCTTTTCTCAAGAGCCTAAAGACATAATAATGTAATTCTTGTAGCTGTAATAGCAAATAAACAAACAGCCTTTGAGTTGAAAGGGATGATTTTTAAATGAGAGACATTGCTTTTCCTACTAAAATTAAAAGGTCTGCTTATGTGGCATACGAGGAGCTACATGTACAGTGTATGCATGCTGGAGTCGGAATTAAATTTGAGTTTGTCACAAGAATGACAATTTGCAGTGATGATTTAATCATTGAATTTTCATAATAATAAAGCCATGGGACCAAATTTGCACTAAATTATGTAAGTGTAAATCTGAGTGACTCCATCAGACTCAATGGATTTATTC